CTTGAATTACCCTTAAAAACGTAAATCCACGCTCCACACCGCTGTACACCATTTATCATGTGGGAGTTCGATACGTGGATTAGGGTAGAAATACTCATGTAGGCTGTTATTACTTATAATTGCTGTTATGTGGAGGGAGCCCGCAGCCGTTACCTATCTCCTTGGTTACACTCGTAAAACTGACTAGCCGGCTGGCCAGTACCCCGTAGTGGGTCTTTTGAAATAGTGTCAGCTCAGCACAGACCGTGACTCAAGACGGTTGGTCGTTGAGTCAACGGACAGGTTACTGGTAACTGGTTACTACTACTGAGACTGGTAACTGGTTACTACTACTGAGACTATGACAAGGTCCTGGATGCTGTAGAGGACAAACGAAATACAGATGTAGTATACACAGACTTTGCAAAAGCTTTCGACAAGTTTAACCATGGTGTAATATCACACAAAATGCGTGATAAAGGAATAACGGGAAAAGTTGGTAGATAGATCTACAACTTCCTGACAAACAGAACACAAAGAGTAATAGTAAACAGAGTAAAGTCCCAGGCAGCCACGGTAAAAAGCTCTGTTCCACAAGGCACAGTAATCGCTCCCATTCTATTCCTTGTCCTCATTTCTGACATAGACAGAGATGTGAGTCATAGCTCCATGTCTTCCTTTGCAGATGACACCCGGATTACCATGGCAGTGACCTCCATCAAAGACACCGCGAGACTCCAAGTGGACATCAACCTAATCTTCGAATGGGCCACTCAAAACAATATGAAGTTCAAAGAGGAGAAATTTCAACTACTCAGATAAGGAAAACTTGAAGAAATTAAAAATGTATCAGGGTATACAACAAATTCTAACCATACAATAGAGAGGAAAAGTAATGTGAAGAACCTGGGAGTGATAATGTCAGAGGATCTTGCCTTCAAAGACCACAACAATGTATCTATCTCATCTGCTAGAAAAATGATAGGATGGATAATGAGAACCTTCAAAACTAGGGACGCCAAGCCCATGATGATTCTCTTCGAATCGCTTGTGTTCTCTAGGTTGGAATACTGCTGTACACTAATGGCCCCCTTCAAGGCTGGCGACATTGCAGACCTGGAGAGTGTACAAAGAACTTTCACGGCACACATAAGTGCGATAAGGTACCTAAACTACTGGGAACGGTTGAAGGTCCTTGATCTGTATTCCCTCGAACGCAGGTGAGAGAGATACATGATAATATACACTTGGAAGGTCCTGGAGGGATTGGTACCAAACCTGCACACGAGAATCACTCCCTATGAATGCAAAAGACTCGGCAGGAGATGCAACATTCCCCCGATGAAAAGCAGGGGCGCCACGAGTACACTGAGAGACAACACAATAAGTGTCCGGGGCCCAAGACTGCTCAATTGCCTTCCAGCATACATAAGGGGGATTACCAATAGACCCCTGGCTCTCTTCAAGAAGGCACTGGACAGACACCTAAAGTCAATACCTAACCAACCGAGCTGTGGTTCGTATGTCAGCTTGTGTGCGGCCAGCAGTAACAGCCTGAAGGTTACGGGTCTCAGACCGGGCCGCGGGGGCATTAACCCCCGAAACCCTCTCCAGGTAAACTCCAGGTACATTCTGCATTCGTCTTGAGCTCTTCATTCTTCCCATATCTAAGCAACTGACATTTGTTACCATTGAACTTCAAGCTATATTCATTTGTCAATTTAAAACTTTTTGATATAAGAACATAAGAACGAAGGAACACTGCAGAAGGCCTACTGGCCCATGCGAGGCAGGTCCAAGTCTCCTACCGGCTTAAGCCAATGCTTTCAGATTACTGCAGTTTTTTTCTTTTTTTACGAATATTAATTTTGAAATAAAGAATCGAACTGAAAATAATGAGAAGCAATAATGTCTATGCCATTCCTGGTTACACAGCCATACACAACTGTAGGCCAGATCAACAAGGGGGTGGCACAGCAATATACTACTCAGACCAACTAGAATGTATCACTAATACTTGCACAAGGGATGAACATGGTGAATATATAATAGCTAAATTCAAATCCAAATACCTACAAAAACCTCTCACAGTGATAAACATCTACAGAGTACCACAGTCAAACATTAGCCGTTTTAGTGAAAACCTAGGAAGTATGATAACTGATGCACGCATGAACAAAGATAACTTACTACTCTCAGGTGACTTCAATATAAATCTCCTGCAAGACCAGGACCCACACGTTACTGAATTCACAAACACAATGAGTAACTGCATGTTGCTACCAGCAGTAACAAAACCTACAAGAGTTACAGAGACTAGTGTTTCCCTACTAGACCACATCTGGACCAACACCATATCCCCTTTAAAATCAGGCATAATCACAGATAATACCACAGATCACTACCCTACCTTCCTCATCACAAATCTTGGCAAATTGCCCCAAGACACTACTAAAGTCACTTCAGATTCCACGATGAGGCAGCCATTAATAACTTCACAGCAGCAGTGACAAACATTGACTGGCACACTGAGCTAGAAATATATACAGATATTGACGAATGTATTAAGAATTTTCTAAAAAAGACCCAATACCTCTATAACAAGCACTGCCCCCAAAAAACTAAACAGATGACAGCTAAGAGACTGAACAGTCCCTGGCTAACACCCAGCATCCTCAAATCCATAAGTACAAAGCACCTATACGAAAAACAGTACAGAATGGGTCACATAACCAGAGACCAAACAAAACGTTACTCTTTAATCCTAACCAGCCTGATAAGAAGGGCTAAAAAACTGTATTATGAGAACAGATTATCCAACTTACGAGGTGACATAAAGAAGACCTGGAAAACCCTATCAGAAATTCAAGGAACAAAAAAAATATCACGAAAAACGAAATTTAAGTAACAAAACCAGATGAACCTCAACTCCCACCAACGAAACAGCAACTCTAATTTCTTCTCCACATAGGGAAAAAAAACCCTTGCCAATTAAAACCAACCAGATAACCCCACCCAATGACTACCTCAGAAACTACCCAACACTTTGTTCCAGCTCCGACTAACCCAAAGAAGTCTCCCTTTTTTTCAACACATAAAAAAAAAGACAGGAATTTAAATACCCTTACCGCCCTTTTTATACAAAAAAGTGTCACAAGTAAATCACCAATCATTTGCAACACTCTTTTAAAAAAATCCATAGAATCCTCTACCTTCCCTACAGTTTCTCAAATAGCAAGGGTCACCCCGATCCATAAAAAGGGGGAGACCAAAAAAACTTAATAACTAAGGGCCAAAATCCAACTTTCACCCCCCTCTAAAATCTTTGAAAAATTAATTCATAAAACAAACATTCCACCCCATCTCCCCCAACAAACCAACCCTTCAATTTGGATTCGGGCCCAATAAAAATACTAAGACATTTTCACAGCTAGAAAACATAACACTGCAATAAGAAAAAAGAATCCCACTGGGGGCTTTATTGACTTACAAAACTTTTTATACGTTGACCTGCTTTCTCCACTAAAATGTCACACATGGTATAAGGGGGACTCCCCAACTACCTAAAGTCTTACCCACAACAAACCAATATGTTACAAAAAGGGGGCAACTACTCAAACTCACACTTTTTGGGCAGATGAAAACAACATACTCTTTTTCCACCCACCCATCAGCTAGCCAATACTGTAAATACCGAATAAAAAAAAATCTACCGGGACGAGTACTAACAAACTTACCAAAACATTGACAAAACCTACTTCATTCAGTTTGGTAACAAGCACGCGTCCCCCAAACATAATGAAAAATGGATCACCATTACAAAACCACAGGGGGAAAAATTTCTAGGAATCCACCTTGATAATAACTCAAATTTAAAACACTATATAACAAATTTCCCAAAAAAAATTTTTCCAAGACCGCGGCATACTATCGAAGATATGGTACTATGTTCCACAGTCAGCCCTCCTGGCCCTATATCACTCACTTATTTACCCCTATCTCACCTATGGAATTTGTGCATGGGGCTCAACAACAATTAACCATCTCAGACCATTAATTACCCAACAAAAGGCTGCAGTCAGAATGATAACAAATTCCCACTACAGGCAGCACACTCCACCAATATTCAAAACTCTAAACCTACTCACCATACAAAACATCCATACTTATTACTGCACCTACTACATTCATAGAACACTTAACTCTGATATAAACCCTCCCATCAAACGTCTCCTTACCAACCTCAACAGAACACATGACCATAACACAAGGCACAGATCACTCTTTGATGTTCCTCGTATCCAT